TTTCCTTTAAAATCCCTTGTGTAAATCGCCGCTTGTAAGTCGTTAAATTCCCTTAGTCGTCACCTAAATCCCGGTCCCGAACAACACAAATGAATGGATTTTCCTACCTGTAAGTCGACACCCCAATCGCTGCATTCCCGCCGCCTGCTTGTCACCACGGCAATGTAGAAACGGGGAATCCCCACCTATAGCACTAGTCGCTCCCTGGTCTTAAGTCTCGCGTGTATAGTGCGGTGCAGTCAGGGGCGGATTAAGGTGTACAGAGGCCCCTAGGCTATAGTAGTCTGTTGGCCCCCCAACCCAGCCCCACTCCGCGCCAATGGGGGCCCCCTTGCAGGCTGGCACACGTGGGGCCCCTAGGCTTAAGCCATATCTAGCCTGTGCGTTAATCCGCCCCTGGGTGCAGTAGAGGTATGGTGTTATATTTACTAGTCGGAAAAACGGCGAGATAGACATACGTTGCCGAAGTGTCGACTTTATAAGTCGGCAAAACAGCGAGATAGACATAAGTCGCCAAAGTGTCGACTTAGGTGTATCTCGTCAATTCTCTAAGTCGTCACTTTTAAGCTGGTCCCGCGAGTGTCGACTTAGACCGGTTTTACTGTATAAAATGTACAGGTGTATATTTTCCAGTGTATTGTAGAATCCGTTAATTCCGGCCATGATACCATGACACAAATGCAGTCCAGTTAAAGCTCTTTCATTCATAACCCTTAAAAGGACTGCGAATCACACCAATCACCACAACACTTGCTTATATAACATCATACAAGAACAGACAATACTTGTAACGGACGGAACAGGCAGAGGGTCACTGAACAAACAATGGGAACTACACATGGTGGGTAACTTATATACAGTCAAACACATGGGAATAAAGCTTAAACTTAAGCAGGGCACCAGTGAAGAACACACAATGCATGGAACCTGGAACACTACATGCATGACATAGACAGCGGACATTGTCAGCACGGCGCAGTGCGGCATGCTGGGACACATACAAATAGACCAGACGGCGTTTGGCTCACGGACGCCAAAGTATAAGTTCTACTGTAAAATTACAGGAGCACTGTCTATATATAACGGTATACCTTGTGTCCATAAACTGTAGAACTACATACTTAAAACTGTATTTTAACACGTATTCTCATATCATTATCATGTTACAGATTACACCAGTAACTGAAGCAAAAAAATTAATTCATGTTACAACTAAAAATCGTATTAAATAAGGATAAATTTTATACTTACAAATATTTTATATATTTTAAAAAGTATTTTACCTGATTGATATTTACAGTATATTCCCGTTATCATTTAAGGTGTTTTACAGTATTTTTTACTGCATTTTTAAAAATTGTACAGTCAAAAAATGTATTAAATACAGAAATATTTTGTATTTACATTTACAGTTCTTTTTCCTTATTTGAGACGGTATTTTAACTGATTGTTTCTTACGGTATTTTTCCGTTGCCATTTAAGGTATTTTTACCGTATTTTTTACAGGCATTTTTTACAGTGTGGCTGCTGCATTTTGTACTAGCTGTTATGTAATGTAATGTAATGTAATGTAATGTAAGGATACAGCCACTGTCAGAAGCCATAAACCAATCATTCATTACTTTGACTGAAACTGTTTCTGTGTTATGGTTTGGTCTGAAGCCAGACTGATATAATTCATTAGCATTATTTTTCTGTAGAAAAGAATACAGCTGATGAACAAGAGCTTTTTCGAGGATCTTTGAAATGAATGGAAGATTTGAGATAGGTCTATAATTTCCTAAATTACTAGGTTCAAGATTCGGTTTCTTTAGAACAGGTCTAATAACAGCTATTTTAAAAGATTTTAGAACATATCCAAGCCTAAGAGAGGAGTTTAACAAGTTTAACAGGATAATTCCTTCTGCACTAACCTGCAATTGGTGCAATTACCTTGAGGAGCCTGAAATGGTTCCTACAGGCCAGCTGTTATCTTCTCCTCAGGTTCATACTTACTGTGAATGAGCCCACAGCCTCTCTCAGCTCCTGCAGCTCCTTCTCCCTCATCTGAATTGTCTGCTGAAATTCCCTCTGTGTTTCACCCATTTGTTTCTACTTATGGAAAAAAAATACAAGAAGTTTGTTTCATTAGCTGAGATCATGTTCTTTAATCCTCCTGTCCATGGGCGTAAATCCCGGGGGGGACGGAGGAGACATGTCCCCCCCCTATCCGAGGGTTGTCCCCGTAAAAAAAATTATATAAAAAAAAATCACACTATCTATTGTGAAAAATATATGTATGTATACCTAAAATAATTATGTAAGCAGAAAAAAAAACAAACGCAAAAAATGCATTTAGAAACAGTTGAGTTCTACGGTGGCCCCTAGAGACAAAACACACGCAAAAGAAAAAGCAGAAACAAAATGAAAATGCGCAGCAAGTTAAAAAAACACACGCAAAAGAAAAAGCAGAAACAAAATGAAAATGCGCAGCAAATTAAAAAAACACACGCAAAAGAAAAAGCAGAAACAAAATGAAAA